CCTCACCTCTCCCCTCTGCCTAGCCTGGAGGCCAGAGAGACACGCAAATTGTGTTGTGATGGCTTCCAGCTCCCTGTAGCACTACACAGCTATTTCTCATCATTACCTGTGTAATCTGGTAGCAGTCAGGAGACCCAGGCATAGATCTGTACACTCACTAATTCCTGTGGCAACAGCTCCTGCCCCAAAGAGCTATAATCTAAATTAGCAGTATACCTGTTCTGGAGACCAGCCAAGCAGGGTGGGTACTCAGAGAATTTTGCACACTCAGTGATAAACACATCATTTTGTTTTTGCCCCTCCTGTGATCACCAAAAAACTATCCAGCTATACAGACAGCTTTACAAGCTAAAGGTGAAATCGTGGTCTCATTAAGATCAATGGCAAAACTCCCACTGACCTCAGTGGGGCCAGGATTTCACCTTAAGGCTATATCTACACTGCAGGCATCTTGTGCAAGGACCGCTGTTCTTGCACAAAAACTTGCAGAGCATCTACACTGCACGCATGTTCTTGCACTAGTAAATTTACAAGAAAGTGTTGGAACAGAGGAAGGCAATGTGGACGGGCAACAGGGTTTCTTGCGCAAGAAACCCCTATGGCTAAAATGGCCATCAGAACTTTCTTGCACAAGAAATCATCCACACTGCCATGGATGCTTTTGTGCAAAAGCACATCTCTTGTGCAAGAAGCCTGCAGTGTAGATGTAGCCAAGAGGTTTACAGGATTGGGCATGATTTGCCCAAGTAGTATAAATGCTTTAGGATTTTTTATTGATATTTTAAATCTTCACTCTCTTTGGACAAGTAAATGTATAAGTATTGTGATTACAATTTTAGCTCATCCCATGGTTTAAAGTTACTTCCAGCAAATAAATCCAAAGTAGTATATATACTTTAATTTACTGTCTATGTCCGTAAGTCCTCCTTGTAATAAATCTGATAACTCATTCAGAGCAGAATATAAATATTAATTGACACAACAGGATTCCAATGTTAAAATGGTAACCCTTGACTACCAATATGTTATTTCTGTTTGCACTATTACTGCACTTATTGTACTTTTTTTTGCAGTTTTTTTAAACTATAAATTGTCCAAGTCTTAGAAATAAGCTGCTTTGTTCTTATTTCCTTCTGTATATAAAGTATGGCTTTATTCTGAGAAGTGACTTGGTAGAAAGTGGCATTACGGGGATCCATCTCTATTTTGTCTCCATTATTTCTACGTTAAATATGTTCATTTTACAAGCTTTAAAAAAAAGTATGTTTTATTTTCTAAGTATTGGCCCTGCATATGAGAGTCACTCTGCCACTTGAGCATCAGAACCTGTAATGAGGATTCTACAGGCCAAAATATGGCAACAGCAACACCTGTGCAACTCCATTGATTTCATAGCTAAACTAGCTACATTGTCACTAATAGGATAGCATTGGTGTAACAGACTGGAACTTGGCACAGAATTCTATTGTCAAGAAGGAAGAGACACCATTTCAAAGTCTTTCATCCTCTTAACTATTTTGGCTCAGCTGGAATAATAGGAATAAAATGTAGTGGATCCTTACTTTTTATCATTAAAGTGATCAAATAAAATCCTGAATACATTCAAAGAGCAGATATCTGTTGAGTAAGATACTTCCATTTTAATTCACTTTTCGGAGTGAATGAAATATTTAAACATGTTGCAGAATAAGTTAATTAACTTTTAGTTTGCTCCATTGAACCACTGAAAAGCGTGCATTTAAACTGCCATTTACTTCTTCCTTTTCAGTATGTATGTAAATATTTATGGATGATTCAAGTCAGCTGGCCATTTACTCCTCTTTACAAATTACAATTAGGCCTTTAATTGATGTTGGTGTTCTTTAAGGTAGGGGTTCTGTCTTCATTGCGCCCTAATCCCTTCTGACAACAAAAATTACTACATATACCCCAGGAGGTAGTGAAACCTGAGCCTGCCCAAGTCCCACCCCCTGTTAGGCAGGGGTAGATAAGGGTGAAGCCAAAGCTCAAGGGCTTCAGCCCTGGGTGGGAGGCTTGTAACCAGAGCCTACCCCCCCCCACACACCCCCCAGGGTAGAAGCTGAAGCCTGAGTCCTGCCATTCATGGATGAAGACCTCAAGCTTCAGCTTTAGCCCCAGCAAGTCTAATGGCAGCCCTGGTGACCCATTAAAATAGGATTGTGACCATTACAGGGTCCCAACCCATAATTTGAGAACCACTACTATAATGCTATGTCTACAATGCACAGTTAAGTTGACTTAAATTACATTGACATTTATCTACCACTATTGCACAACCACCCAATGCTCTGAGAAAGCATTGTCATTAGTAGGTGCTCCTGAAGAAACAGAGAGAGGTGCACTGTAGGTAGCTCTTTCAGGGCACATCTGCACGAGAGAGTTATTTCAAAATAACTCCCCTTGTTTTGAAATAAGATGAGCATCCATACAAAAAGTCCATTATTTCAAAATTATTTTGAAATAATGGGCTTGTTATTTTGAAATAACTCCCACTTCTGATGAGGAATAATGCCTATTTCAAAACTGTTATTTCAAAATAGGGTTAGTGTGGACGCTCAGCTGTTGTTATTTTGAAATAATTGGCCTCCGGAGGCCTCTCACAGCTGCCCTGGTGGCTGCTCTGGCCACAGCCCTGACAACTATAATGCTTCCCTTCTCCTGCATTCTTTAAAGGTGCAGGCAGAAGGAAAATGGCTGATGGCATCACACTATGCAGCACGCTTTCTTGGAACCACAGCAGACACTCGTGCTCCCTCCAAGCCCCCCATGGCTGCAAGTACACCTGCTGCTACCTCAGAAGCCAGGGGCAAAAGAGAGCACCAGCCTGGACTGGTGCAGAGATCCTGGATCCCATTGAGGTCTGGGGCAAGGTGTCAAACCTCAAGGATCTCTGAACCAGATGGCAAAACACCAGTGTCAATGGTCAGATGGCCACCAGCGTGGCCCAGAAGGGGCACAGCTGCATCCCATACCAGGCACACATGAAAATTAAGGAACTGTGGCAGGCCTACATGAAGGCAAGGGAACAAAATTCCCACTCTGGGATGGCACCCCAGAGCTGCTGCTTTTACGAGCAGCTGGATGCCATCTTGGGAGGGGGGCCAGTCACACACACCCCCGTGTCATCAACTCCGGGCAGGACACACCCATCATCAGCCTCAGCAAGGGTGGAGCTGTCTAAGAGGAGGAACAAGTCAGCCTGGACACCATGCTTGCCAGCCAGGAGGTCATCAGCAGCCTGGAGCTGGTCCCTTCCCCCAATGGCTCCCAGGTCAGTGGTTCCTAACCCCCCAAAATTCCCTACCGCTGCAGTAAACTGTGCATTTGATATTTGTCAGAAAGCATGAATCCTGTACTGCTCTGCAGTATTGTGATGAATGTTATGAACACAAAATGGATGATCCTGCAGTATTTCATGAACTACATAGCCGATGATGACATCATGGTGTCTGGACTACTCTGTGCAATGGACAGAAACTATTCAAGATTGCTGTTGGCACTTATGGAGCAGCTGTACATGGTGGACTGTCAGTTCTGGGTGCAGAAAACAAGCACTGAGTTGTGGGATCATATCATTATACAGATATGGGATGACGATACAAATATTTCTATCTTCTGAAAGGTACATGAAAATCAAGCATATTTGCCATTGAGACTCTCACAGCTGCTATGTGTATGTCCAACTATCATTGTGAAACAACCCCATCCAGGTGCACTGTGAGGAATGTAGGGAGAGGAAGAGTATAGGAAGGTCATGAAAAGTAGTCTGTAAGGGCTGCAAGGGGATATGAGCACAGAGATGTTTCACCTAAAGTTCAATCAGGTCATGTCTACATTACAGAGTTATTTCTAAATAACAAGGTGAGCATCCACATAGCAAGGCTGTGTCTACATTGGCACCCTTTTCCGGAAAAGGGATGCTAAAGAGACAAGTCGGAATTTCAAATGCCGCGGGGGATTTAAATATCCCCGCGGCATCTGCATGAACATGGCTGCCGCTTTTTTCCGGCTCGGGGCTTTGCCGGAGAAAAGCGCCAGTCTAGACGGGATCTTTCGGAAAATAAAGCCTTTTCTGGAAGATCCCTTATTCCTGATTTTAAGAGGAATAAGGGATCTTCCGGAAAAGGCTTTATTTTCCAAAAGATCCCGTCTAGACTGGCGCTTTTCTCCGGCAAAGCCCCGAGCCAGAAAAAAGCGGCAGGCCCTAATTTTAAGAGGAATAAGGGGTCTTCCGGAAAAGGCTTTATTTTCCGAAAGATCCCGTCTAGACTGGTGCAAGTGGCAGCCATGTTCATGCAAATGCCGCGGGGGATATTTAAATCCCCCGCGGCATTTGCAATTCCGACTTGTCTCATTAGCATCCCTTTTCCGGAAAAGGGTGCCAATGTAGACACAGCCCAAGTGTGTTATTCCAAAATTATTTTGGGAACAACAGGCTTTTTATTCTGATATAATAAACCCTCATTTCATGAGGAATAAGCTTATTTCAAAATAGGGTGACTGTGGATGGCACAGCTGTGCTTATTATCAAAATAATTGGCCTCCAGAGTTTCTCACAGCTGCTCTGGTGGCCACTCTGTCCACACCCCTCAGAACTCCATAATTTCCCTTCCTCTACAGCCTTTAAAGCTGCAGACAGAGGGAAAACAGCAGGACACATTTGTATAGTAACAGCTGACCCCACCTAGCTTCCTCACTTCCCCTCCCCCCCCCAGCTGCTAGTGAGCTGGCAACCAGCTCTTTAGCCCCTGGCCGGGGCAGAACAAGAAGGCCCCTATTGGTGTGGTATGGAGATCCTAGATCTCACTGAGGACAGGGGAGAGGAGGCTAACCTCCAGGATCGACTGCCAGCATGAGCCAGAAGGGCCCCATGCCCACCCAGGAGCAGGTATGCATTAAAATCAAAGAACACAGGCAGGCCGACAGACAGGCCAGGGAATGGCGTTCCCTATCAGGGGCAGCACCCCAGGCATGCTGCTACTTTGACCTGCTGCACCACATCCTGTGGGGGGAAGGTCAGTCCCTTCCCTGACCCTTGTTGTTGACTGGAGATGCCCTTTGTGATCCTCCAAGAGGGTGGGGCTGTGCTCCAGAACGAGTAGTAAGAAGAGGCCGCCAGCTAAGACATGATGTCCACTAGGCAGCAGGCCATCATCTCCCTTCTGGGATGTCTCCTAGCATTCGGATGAACCTAGGGAAGGCCCATCAGGTGAGTTCCATTATTTTGCTGCAACATACATGGAGGAGGCCAGGGGCTCATGCAAACGCCTGTGCACGTGGAATGCCAGTCTGGAGCAGACAGCCACACAGGAGCCTTTCACTCCTTCTCACAAGGTTGGTGGAGAGGCCTGTCATACTCCAGACTCCCTGCGGGGACAACTTCCCACCACTAAGGAGGTTGGGATCATGGACACACACACAGCAATGCTGCACATGGTCGTGCCCACACCTTCAGAGCAGCAGTCGTACCCGCGCAAGCGCAGCAAGGAGGACATTGAGCCCCTGCGTGGAAACCTGCTAGGGGGAAGAAACAGAGGGGACCCCAGTAGCAGCTCCTCCAGCAAATAGTATCTGCTGCTCACACACACCTCCCACAACACCCTTCCTATCCTCCTCCAGTGGGCAGTGATAGAAGCCTGTGGGACACGACCACTACCAGACCCGGTGCGTACGCAGCATGGAGGAAAGGTTAGCCACCCTGATGCCCCCCTCCTGCCCAGAGGCTCCTGGCCTAGCACTGTTTTTCTCAAGTGGGGTTATAGTAACTGATATCTTGTTCCTGAAGATAACTGAGGATGCAAGCATGAAGGTCCTGAATGTATTTGACTGCAGACCAACTGCACATGCTGCTCAGTTATGTGCTGCCATAGTACCTGTAGAAGTAATTGCTGAATGGCATAGCAAAATTTTCTATCATGTGGGAAGAGGGATTTCTGGGACATCCCAGTGTACATAAACTTTTCTGCAGGGCCACTTTGCCTTGCTGAACAGGGGAATAAGAAGCCAATACAAACTGTACCTATATTGAAACAAAAAACAGGACTATGTAGCACTTTAAAGACTAACAAGATGGTTTATTAGGTGATGAGCTTTCGTGGGCCAGACCCACTTCCTCAGATAAAATACTGGAAGAAAATTGGTATGACTATATGACAGATATTAGACAGGATCACAAAGAAAAAAAACAGTTTCTTGCCATTTCAACCAGAAAGGGCATTGTCTCAACAACCTGATTACCTGCATCCTGCTTCAAAGACCTTTTCACACCAGACTTGAAAGAGAATCCTCTGAACTGTCATTCATGCTTAAATTCGACACTTTACGCCTCAGTCTAAACAAAGACATTAATTATCTTACCCATTACAAAGATAGCTTCCCCAATTATCACCTTTAATATCATTAGCTCACAGACATTTACCTCCCCCCCCATCCCTCTTCTGTTCTGAAATTTGATTTGTCTTTTTCATATGTGTTCATTTTTTTTTTATTGTATCCTTTGGTATATATAGTTGTGCCAATTTTCTTCCACTATTTGATCTGAGGAAGTGGGTCTGGCCCACAAAAGCTCATCACCTAATAAAGCATCTTGTTAGTCCTGTTTGTTTCAGCTAGACCAGACTAACACGGCTACATTTCTATCGCTATGTATCTATATTGTTATTTCAATGCCTGTTCTACTCGGATTAAAAAAGCAAAGCATTACCTCATGTGTCTCTGCAGCATCATAGCACAATGAGTTCTTACTAGTTTCCCTTTCCTGCATCAAATGTGCCAGAGCTGGAGTTCTGGAACTTGTTAGACCTTCCCAGAGTTTAAAAATGGTCCTGACTCAGCACGCTACTGAATGTCCCCATCCCCTCTCCTCTTCCAACTCCACTTCCTTGTTCACTATATCATTCTTGGGGTTTGCTCCACTAGCAACCATCTTCAGTCCCCCTAAAATATCCATAGGGCTCTTCCCAGTGGAAGTAGAATTGTTGCTGAAGATCCTAATACAAGGAGCATGTCTTTAGAGATATATATCAGAGCAACCATTGGCCTCTCTTGCCTTCAGGTAGGGCTGCCTCAGCTCCTTGATCTTTGTATAGCACTACTGTGTGTCCCTATCATACCTCTTCTCCTCCATGTCATGAGTAATCTGACCATATGTCTCTAAGTCCCTGCAGTGAGAGCAAAGTTATGACTGCATAGCCTCCTCTTCCTAAAGACCCAGCTGATCTACTACCTCTGGTGTATTCCAGGAAGGGGTGTGTTTGCTACTGGGAAATGGCAGGGTCAGTTGAAGAGATACTATTAGAACTGTTCACACTGGGCAATCAGGGAGAGCAATTAAAAAAATTCTCAGGGGTCTAAAGAGAGAGGGGAACATGCCTGAGTACCTGACTGAAGGGCAGTGGAGTTCCAACTGGTGACCAATGCAGTCACAGTGGGCACTGTGGGACACCTCCTGGAGACCACTGAAACATAAAATATCAGTGGAGACGCTTGCTTAACTACATCACCCTAAGCAGTACATCTCTTTTTGAGGTGGTTTTATTATGTTAGTGTAGCAGGAGAGTTAAACTAGAAGGAGCATTGCAGTGTGCTCCCACACTGCCATACATAGTTCAATGTAAGCTGTTTTATGTGAGTTTTAACTTTGCACTGTAGAAATCCCTCATACTCAGCACTTAGTATAATATGTACTATATGAAAATAAAACAGAAAATAACTGAATACCCAGCAATAATCCAGTACAGCAAAAGTGTCTGGAGTGATTATGGCACCTTATTATTGAATTTGTGTTCATTACAGATTAATGAATAGAAAAACAAAGTCAAAATTAAACTTTTAAAAAGTGGATAAAGAACAGGAGCAGTTGTTGAAACTGCACTTTGGAACTTGTGCCTCTCAAAGTATAGAGGAAATATGTTAGTCTTTACCACCGTATAAGAGTTTTGAAACCAATGGACAGACTACTCTGGCAAAGTGAACTGCATGATTGGGGCTTTTTTATTTTTATAATTCTATCAATTAACTAGTTCCATGAACTTAATTTTAAAATAAGTTGTGTGTTAAATAATACTTTCATACAAGATTTTTGGGATGGTTCTAATACAGCTTTGTTAGATTAAAAAGACTGTATAATAGTTAAAGGGAGAAAAAAAAAAAGGACGAAAAGAATTTCAGTCCAAATTATGATATTCCCAAGCTCTCCTCAGATCCAGGTAAGCCCAACACACACACACACACACACACACACACACACACACACACACACACACACACACACACACACACACACACACACACACACACACCCTTTCTAGGCTGGCTGCCTAATCAGACTCCGAACGCATGTGGAAAGGACATATTTCATATACAGAAAATATGCAAAGTGTGTGGGTACCAAAATTTACAAAGGGAACTATCCTCATATTAGCGAGGCGTTCTCTCCCAGAAAAGTCACTGAGAAATGTGCTACCTGACCATCTCTTCCTAGCGCCCTGCATAAGCAATATGAAAAACTAAAATAAATCACATTTTGATAAAATTAATAATGTCATCTATGTACAGAAACTTTAGCACATACTTTCAGACATACAAAATAAAGTACTTAAAATAGAGAATTTAAATCTTAAACTGCCATATTAGATAAAAGGTATAAATTCCAGACTAGGAGTCAGGAATTCTTTACAGACTGCTCCAATTCTTACCCAAAGCCTCTCTGTGTCCTTGGACAAGTCATTTAAGTCCTTTCTCAGTTTCCCACTAGTAGATTAATATCTAAATCACAAAGGAATTGTAAGGATTAATTACATATTGGCAAAACAATGCAAAAATAAACTACTATATCAATTCATACAGCAGTTATCAAATTATAACAATATTAAGTTAAATGAAACTTTAGGCCCAATAGACTTAACAATATCCTTTTCTTTAACGATACTGATAGTTTGAAATGAATACAAAAATGTATAGTTTGACATTTTATTATAACTCATTAAAAACAAACGTACCATACATAAACGTGCATATCACTTTTATCAAAAAGTAGTTTTACTCTTTGAGAAACATTGTTCTCAAAGTTAAAACTATAATGAGTGTGTATGCACACAGGCACACAATTTAAAAAGTTAGCAAGTTTTTGTAACTTGACTATTATCCATTTCTCATGGGGGTGATTTAATACAGATACAAATAGTTCAGTCCTCCCACCCCTAGAATAGAACCATGTCCTCTTTAAAAACCAAACATGACCCTAAATAATTCCAATAGATATAACCCTGGAGAAGATTTTTTTACACTGTGAAAAAGCCTAATTAGTACAATTAATTTTGCAATCAGTCTCAAAATATTTGGTTGGAGAGGTTAGCCTTCAGGACCTCCCGCTATATTCCTAAATGGCGTTGAAATATCTCCTCCATTATGTCATCAATATATACATAGTGCTTATTTTCTTTCTTGGGTACCAAAGTCCATCTTCCAGATTTTCTATGGTATATTCTACGGTATCTATTATAAAAATAAAAAGGGGAAGATGTTTCATTAGGAGAAAAAATAAAGATACGTGTTTTCATCCATGAGTATTTATAAATTAAAGACCACAGTCCTGCGAACTTTATTAACATACCAACTTCAGTGGGGAAATGTGTGTAGCAAAAGGCTACAACATTAGCCGCTAAAAGCCTGCAAAACTGTAATTAGTCTCTATCCTTTTATTTTACAATTGAAGTCAACGCAGCTCCATCAATTTTAAATAGAGAAAAAGATTGATATCAAGTGATACAAGATCGAAAATTATATATCCTATGCTCACTCTCTCACCCAGGTCTGTGATTTTTCTGAGACTAATTTTAGGTATTTCTGTAGAGTCAAACTTTGGGATGTAACTGAACCATGCACTTTTTGTTCACACTTTTCCAAGTGCTGAATCACCTCTAGATCTGTGTTTTCTCTCTCTCTCTCTCTCATGCAAATTATGAAGACTCCTTAACTTTCTATTAACATAAGAAAAAAAAAATCAAACGTTCTGGCATAAATCCCTGAATTCAGCAAGAAAATGATCAATAGAGCTTTACACAGACACTATGTAATAGTATATACTGATTTCTTAGAACAAATGTCAACTAACTAAGTATTAGCTAACAAAAGAAACAATAGAATAGTGCGGGATCAGACTTACATTAACTGATTCTGTTGATTGTGCATGGTTTGCCGGTTCAAATGCATATTGTAATCAATAGCAGCCAAAAAACATCTTGCTCTGTACACTGGATAGGTGTATTCAAATCTTTTGGTAGCATACATATGCACATGCTGCTGAAATTGTTCCAGATCAAATGTGGATCTTTATAAAAAAATATTTATTTTTTCAGAAAAATGTTTAACAGATTACTAAAATTATTAGGAACATTATGTAACTAACACATCAATATTAATAAAATGCAGAAAGACTTTTTTAGTAAGTAACCTATCCTCTTACATTACAATTTTTACATTTAAAATTCACTTATCTTCAATTGTGTTATGTGGTTTAGTATTACTAAATGACAGTTTGAATGATTTAGTATATATGCAAAACTACCTTTTTTGGCACACAGTCTACATTCATTTTTAGAGGAAGGGAAGAGAATGATTTGGAGGAAACAAAGACAGCCTAACATCCACAATTCAAATTCATTATACCTAAACTGTAGAAAGTATGGTATGTTTCTCAGAAACTTTTTATCCAAAATTATTCTGCACATTTCAGTGTGAGGTTTGCTTCCCTTTTCTAGCCATTCCTTTTCTCTTTCATCCATTTGAGGACCATGTTTGCACCGTTCCTTAATGATGCCGTTTCCACTAGCCCACTGATGTTCATTGACCACATGATGAACTAAGCCACACCACATTCCCTACAATGGTAAGAAACCATGATAATAAAATGTAATTTACTGCAGTAAAACATTGTATTGGAATATTACAATTTAGCTCTAAATTACAACTTACAATAAATTTTTCATATGAATTTGCTTCCTTGCAGCAAAACCAGAAGTAATTGACAATATCTGAACACCACTGTAAAAGACGGTGACAATCTTTCTGTCTGCTAGCCTGAAAAATAAAGGCATGCATGACTATTAAAAACAAAATGGCATGCCTATGTATGTACGTCTTCTACTTATCTACTGAAACTATATATAGTTTTATATGTAGTTAAACTATATATAGTTTAAACACTTTCATAGGCAGGGAATGTCTTCCTGTATTCTTTATAGCATCTACCGAATTCTGGGCAATACCATATAATATCACCAGAAAATAGAGATGCAGGTTGAATTTCTCTTGTCCAGCAACCTTGGGACCTGATGGGTGCTGAACCAGAGAATCTGCCAAACCACAGGCGATCAATATTGTCTAGCAGCCTTATCAACATTTCCACTTCTTATTGGGCTCTGAGAAGACATTTAAGGGTAAATTAAAGCTAAATAACTGCATAGAACACTGAGAGCCAGGACTGGTGGCTATAAAAAAAACTTTATGGGACCATGGGAAACTTGCCCATACCTATAGGTGGACATCTGGCTAACTAAAATCATGTTGGACTACAGATGTTTCCAGACCAAAGGATGCCGGACTTGATTGTTTGGAAACTTGTTTGTGAAAAATAAAGTTATACTTCCCGATTAGCTACAGATACCAAATTTTCCATAAACAACCCTGCCACTTAAATTAGCTGAATGCACTACTTTGTACACCAGAATATACAGGGTGAAAGATTTAAATAATTATTTTTGGTCATGACTATTATGATTAGAGTTCATAAATATTTCCTAACAAAATTAAAATCAAATCGCCTATTCAACTGTCATTGTAGTGAAAAGAAAATTTATACTGTTAAAAATCACAAAATAATTCAGATTAGGTATGGAAAGAGTAATGAATGCTTTATGAGTTTCTGATTCAAATTCACTATGTATGGTAATTATTTAATAAAATGAACTAGGCTTGAAATCCTACAAATTTAAAAACTGTTCTTTTACTTCCCTTTTTCAAGCACATTAATAAAAAATTATATTACATATATTTAATTTCTTGAATTTTCCTATAAGTGTAATCTACACAAAATGACTTTCCATGGTCAATGACGGACTTCACCTGCTAATCGCACATATTACACAGAACTGACCAGATATACATTAATGATAACATTCTACTGCTACTAACCTGAGCTGGACTTGAACCGGTTGAAGACACTACATATATTATTAATCTTCTAAATTATGAAGCCAAATGTTGTGTTATAAATGTACTATGATCAATTTTATTATACTATTGCAAGTAACTACAAAATATATAATTATTCTGTACTCAGAGAAATGTTACCTCAATTAATTTATTTCCAAGATTTTTGGCACCACCCCATATGTCATATGAATGAATTACACAGGGGAATTTCTTTGCTGTGGAAAAAATATACACAATAATTAGATTTACATTTCATGATGTTCAATTTAATGAGAGTCCCTGCATAACATTAAACATTTTTTTTTCCAAATTCATTCATAATTTTCCCCAAAAGCACTGCTGTGCGTAGTGGGCTGCTCCAGCTGGTTGAAACTGGCTGAACATTTTCTTTTAAAAGTGTTTTTCAACAGCAAATTGAATATTTGACTATTTTTTGTGAACATTTTGTGAATTCTCACAGAAAATTTCAATTTTTTAGCTGAAAACCAAAATATCTTGATTTAGCAAAACTCCTGTAGTGCCTTCTTAAAGCAACCAAAATACATCTCCATGTCCACATTCTCTTCTATGGCCACGCTTTTAGCTATACTATATCTCCCAGGATTCACCATGGCCAAAGACTCCTATGATACACTACTTCCTCTTCACATTAAGAGACCTCAGTTGACAACAGGATGGTAAAATGGTTTGACTATGTGTCGATAGAGGAGAATGAGAACTTGAACTACAGCACCCATGAGACAGTGCAGTAGCATTTTTTAATTTCTGCCAAAGATTAACATTTTTCCATAGAAAGCATCTTCATTTTTCAACCAGCTCTAGCAAAGTTTTTTTAGAAACTTGAAGTGAAGAGTCTTTTCTTGCTGTTTGTGTCCTTTCTAGCTGCAATATTGATTCTTCCTAACTTGTGAATTTAGCAATATGACACTAAAATGCTGTTTTGTATTTTTTTTCCTTGTTTATGCACTACTGTCACTGATTAGTTCAGCAATGCTTTGTGAACAGTGTTAAGTACCAAATGCTGGAAATGCTTTATTTCACAAACCATTTTATGGAAGTTAGTGGGATTACTTGTGTGAGTAATAATTACTAAATTTGTTTAAAGCAACATCTGGCTTCTAGGACCAAATTCTCTTAAGATATCCATAGGCAATACTATCTGACATTACTGGAAGTTACATTCTCAATTCTGACGGAAGAAATGTGACCTACAAGTAGTAAATTACTGAAAGCCAACAGTGGACAATCAACACTAGAAACATTCTTTTTGCATAGGTCAAACAAAAAAAAAAAAATGCAACCATGGCTCTAATTCTTCTGAGATTGGTATAATGGACTTCTTTTTAAAAATACAGACTGAAAATGCAGTTGATATTACAAAGATATTATTTTCAGGAAAAACTATAACAGTATGCCTTGAACTTACAGAGTTTTGTAGAGCTTTCAAAGCTTTCATAAAAAATTAAGAGTGATAATTACTTATCAAAGCAGAAATTTGGGTGTGTGAATCAGTAACCACTTCTTTGACCATTAGCTGTTCATCCAACAACTTTTGTAATCCTCTTCGAAAGGCTTCCTTCTCCATAAATGGGGAGTTCAGTTGGGTTTTGCGTTTATCCACTATTTCAATGGCTAAAATTTGTTTAGTTTCTAAATCCATGAATGAGTATACACAGTACTGTGCAGAGTGGCCAGGGCCATCCATATGTCCATCTCCTGCACATTAGGAATTAAATAGAAATGTTTTATTCTGAGATAAGTGACCTTGATTTTATTTGTATTAATAATGGTAGTAAGAAAATTTTAAAAAACAAACAAGGAACAAACTTGAATGAGATATTAAATTTTGAAAGGCTTTATTTACCCATAATGACTACTTCCTTCCCATGTAGTTCCTCTAAAATGTGTTGCTTCATTCGACACCAGAAGGACTCTATAGTTGGGACAATAAAGTGACGCTGCATTTTGAAGAATGTACTTGCACTTACGAATGTCAACTTCATAAAGTTTGCCATTTGTGAAATTTTTCCAAAATTGTTTCCTGACAGTATGATTGCAGCAGATAAAGCAAGGTCTCCTGCATATGTCTGTCCTTTTATCAAGGGTTGAGAAGACCATTCAAATGCTATATGTCCTGCACTACATTTCTAGACATGTTGAAAGTTAAGCAAAGGACAAAACAAAAGAAATAAGTGAGGCCATGTACTTAATGTTTGCACTATAACAAGCCAGAAGACCAAAAAAAAAAAAAAAAAAAAATCAGATCAAGAATTATATGGATAGTTTTAAGGGGCACCTTTAATTAAAGACTCCCCATTCTCATAACCAAATATCTTATATATTACTATCAACTCCTTAAAAATGAATGACTGTTAGAAATTCAATTAAGAAGCATAAATAGTAATGAGTTACATATCATTTACTGGTTACATGTCTCTCAACTGGAACAATGAAAAAAATTAATGAATTAGTTTACCTTTTTGTAATCAGTCATCTTCATTTTCCAGTTCATAGAGCAACATCAGAGTTTCAAAGAGACTACTGGACTGATATTTGCTTATTTCATTTTTTTTTTTTAATTCTGGAAATGTTTTTTATTGGTCTTCAGTTTCTTAAAAGCTTCACTTTACAGTATACACTTTTTGGACCCTATTTAAGTATGTCCACTGAATGATAGGATATATGATAAAAGATATAGAAAAGCTCACATCAGAAAACATAGGGACTTATCTGCATTCTTTTACTAACACAAGTAGTCCTTACTCATATGAGTAACCCCATTGTGCTCAGCATGATTACTCGAGCAAGTGAGAACAACTGACCAAAGTAAAATCTGCAGAAACAGGCCTGAATATATTACAAATAAACATTGAGGTCTCAATCCTGCAATTAGACACAGGTGGGCTGACCTTTGTGGAAGTAATTAATTTCAAAGGGATACTATGTAGAAGGCATGGGATCTCATTTGAGTCAGTGAAACTCCACATGGCCCTGCCCCGATGATCTGACTGCAGGATCAGGACCTTACAAAATTAAATTACTATTAATATATTGAGAATTACTTAGAGAGATATTTACAAGAGCTATTACTCACCCATATCAAATGCACACAGGAGGAAACAGGTTGTATAGAAATATCAACTTCACCAGCACAAAACAAACATTTTGGTATAACAATTTTTTTGGCTAGTTGAAGAAGAGAGTGTTCATAAATGATGTGAATTTTTTCATGAGCAATATTCTGGGTTTCATCCAAAGTCATATCAAGAGTTGTCTCCTCAAAGGTTTCTGTAAAGTCACCTTGTGACCCATCATCACATTCATCTGTGATACCCAATATATCCTCTGCTATAGACACATTTTTCAAGTGTTTAACTGAAGAAAAACTAAATAAATTAAAAGACAATTAGAATGCATTATAAAAATAACACATGAATTAAGACACACAGAGTAATTTAGACCCTGAAAGTTTGGGTTCAGGAATGGTGTTATTTTTTTTAAAAAAAAGGTAACTATAGAAGGGGAAATAAAAGATTGTAGAAAGCCTAATATGAATAAGGTGTTTTAAATTTAAATGGCAATAGAGTAAAACATTACCCTGTACAGCTTCAGTACATAAGAATTAGAAAGTGAAAATTGAGTCAGACCATTCTACGTTATAAGTGTGTGAACAATTAAGCAAACAACTTAGATGAATGGCAAACTATATATATGATCGGTATAACGATGTATTAAAACTGGAAGTACTAAATAAAAACAAATATAACTCAACGAGATACCTTTAAATACTACTTACCTTTTAGAAAGATCATAATCATTATCAATAGTACACTCTTCACCTGAATTGTCTGTAGATTCATGCTCTAAATCTTCACATGGCAATCTGTTAAATAAATTGAGCCAAAGAAGTAATATTTAATGTCATGTATCCCTGGCAATAAAATGCTATGCTCCTGAGATTCTTCACCCTGTAGCAAACCATGGGTATACCATATAATCAAGATGCAAATTTCTCTGCTACTTACATAATCTCATTACATAAAATAATAAAGCAAAACATCCAAACCACCCTCACTTGCTGCCTCTGATAAAAAGGAGTCAATAGGATTAACCATGCTTATCAGTTAATTGTGTAACCGACTACATATTGACATGCCTAGTATGGGTGCAGAGGGTTTTGGTTACGTGGGGCAGAGGGTTGGAGGAAGGAGGACCTGAGATGCCAGAAACAGGCTCTGGCCAGGAGGCACTTACTTGGGCAGCTCCCAGCCAACAGCCCCACCCAGCAGGTTCCTCAGCCAGGTGTAGGCCAGGGGTACTGCTCTGTATACTGGAAGTACTTTGCGCACTGCCTGTTCTGCACATTAGCCAAAACCAGCCAATGGGAGCTGCAAAATTCTGCTAGGGGTGGGGGCAATGTGCAAAGCCTCTCCCCTGCTTCCCTCCCCCAGGCTCACAGTGTTCAGAAATCTGCTCTGAGCAACGTGCAGTTGCAGGACAGGCAGGGAACCAAGCTGAGGCTCCCACAGTACCTGTGGGCTGAACCCAATGGCTTAGCAGGCTGAATTTGACCCACAGGCCCTATTTTGCCTGCCCTGGCATAGAGCAGCCTCCACTTTCTTAGAAGACACAGCAGAATGGACTAATTATCAGAACAAGGATGAATTTCCAGGCAGCCTTTTTATGGGAGATAGAAAAAGGTCTTTAATAGTCAGTATTAGATTAGCCCCTGGTGGGATGCTGCCATTATACTGTTGAAGCAAAAACACGCTCCTCTCGGTTTAGGCGGCTAACAACTGATTGCTTTATTGATCAGTAAAGCAAAGTGAGCCAAACGTGGTCCCAGCAAAGTCGGGCCCAGTAAAGCTGCTTAATACAATCAATCCTAGTATCTTTATACCCTTAACCAAACAGTCTGACGTCAGGGCATCCAATTACAGAAATAATCAATTAAACTAGGAAAAACAAAGCCTTATCAACAAGATGGCGGACAGGTACGAGGGAGTACCTCTCCTCTCTGAATCAGCCTAATTAACACATTCCAATAGCACATCTGTCTTGGCCTGGCGCATGGGGTGATAGAAAGTTCACTCTGGCCTACGTGCAAAGACAAAAAGCTGAAATGGTTTCTGTTATACAAGATGGCTTCTAGCTAAACATAAAATAGCTTCTACAATATTTACCTGCACCCCAGTAGGTACTAGCAATTGCAGCTCCTGTTGGTTGCAGATTGCCATTTCCAGTCAATCAGAACTGTGGGAAGAAGCATGGACCAGGATACTGCTTCCCTCAGCTCCCATTAGCTGGAAATGGCGAATAGGAACTGCAGTTGCCGTGCCTGTGGAGGCACAGGTAAATACACACCAGGGCTAATCCTGACATACCGGATCCAGCACCCAGGCAGGTCTTTGCCCACCTTTGGTGCAGAGGAATGATCACATGACAGAGTCATTTCATTGATTTTTTTTTTTTTAATTTTTACTAGGGATGTAAAATCCCGGTTAATCAGTTAGCAAGTTAAATGTTAGATTAACCTAACATTTAACTGCTTAACCGACTAACGTGAGATCCTGGTTGTGGACCACTACAGCTCTGCTGGAGCAGCCCCCAGTCCACAGGGCTCCTGTCCCCATCACTACGCTGGGGGCTGGCTACCAGATCTCAGCACTCACAAGAGCAGACCCTATCCACGGCAGAGCAGGCTCCCTGGAGACAGAGGCTGCTCCGGATGAGAGCAGCCCCTGTTCACAGCAGGCTTCCTACAGGGCTGGAGGAGTCCCCTGCTTGCAGCAAGCAGGGAGGAGCTCCATCCCCCACCGATTACCAGTTAAACGGAATCGGTAAGCATCACCCATTTAGGCTGATGCTTACTGGTTAACCTTGCACATTCCTAATTTTTACACAATTTCATGGAAAAAGCTGAGAGAAAAAAAAAATTAAAAGATTTCAAGTTACCTTTCAGTGCTTGCTGTTAAAGAGGTCTCTGGCACATCCTCTTCTATGTTTAATGTTGTGTTTCCATCTACTTCCTGTATTTTTCCTTCTGATTCCTTGCACACAACATCTTGATTTTCATAACTGTCATATCTATATTAAAAAGTAAGATGAAAGAAACCAATCAGAATAAAATTCACATTTCTCTTTAGATAAACATATTTGATATATATTAGATATATTACTTACAAATCCAGTAAAAACTTGGCAACTTCAGCATGTGAGAAGACATTAAGCGTTTCCCTAAGTGACATCCATCTTCCTATTTGTTCTCTTATACATATCCTTGATTGAGCCCTTTTTCTCTCAAGACTCTTTCTCCTCCTCTTTTTTTCTGATGGGGAATATATGGTGGGTCTACCAGGTCGTCTTGGAGGTGGTGATGGTGAGGATGAAGAGGACGAAGACGACATTTCAAGCTTTTAACTAAGAAAGAAGACTAAATGTTTAATTTATTCATAACATTTAATTTTAAACATCTGGCTTGTGGAATTTACATTCAAATTCTTTCTCTATGAGAAAGAATTATTGGACACAAATCAGATATCCCAAAAGGCAATACACAAAAAACCTGTTGGAGAACACTTTAATCTACCTGAACACTCATTAATGGATCTCCAAGTCACCATGTTGTTTCAGGCCAATTCCACAAGCCAAATACACAGAGAAAGATTGGAACTTAACTTCATTTACAAGTTTAATTCTTATGCAAATGGTATGAACAAGGATATCGGCTGGCTTGCACACTACCTTCCACATCGTATGACTTAACCTACCAACCAACGGAAGTTCTAATTGTTCTTATCAGCCTGTTGTAACTATTTGAACCATCTACTCTCTGTCTCTCTCCTTTTATTTTTTTCTCCTTTCCCCTCCTTTTTTCTCTCCCCGCCCCTTTCCTTATTTATTCTTGGATCTGGACTTCTAATACTCCAGTCACCTGAAGAAGTGGGTTGTGCCCACGAAAGCTCATGACTACATGTTTTGTTAGTCTTTAAGGTGCTACTAGTCTATTTGTTGTTTTTTATGTAATGCCAATATAAGCTGTTGACACAAAATCACATAATATGTAGTCCACTAGTTTCTATCACTAAAGACCGCTGAGGCATAAATAAAAGGCACTCATTTGTTTGTATTACATCTCAATAAAATGTTTCATATTTTCCAAGTTACGAAAAAAATAGGAATATGAACTTTACTGTCAAACATTAGAAAACAAACAGAAAGCTTACAAAAAGAATTTGATATCTATTTGGTATCCAAAGTAAGATTTTTAAGTGACCGATTTATCAAGCTCAGTGGTTCTCAAATTGGGTGCACTGCAACACCCTTTTGACAACAAAAATTACTACATGACCCCAGAAGAGGCAACCAAAACCTGATCCTGACTGCACCCCATTGCCCAGCCAAAGCCAAGCCTGATCCCACTGCCCTGGGCAGAGGGAACATAAGAATGGCCATACTGGGTCAAACCAAAGGCCCACATAGAATAAAACAGGGAATTATCAAGTAATCCTTTTCCTGTCATCCATTCCCAGCCTCTGAAAAACAGAGATTAGGGCAGGGCTGGCCTTACCATGAGGCGAACTGAGGAGGCCACCTCAGGTGCCAGACTTTGCAGGAGGAGGGGGGGAAGGGCGCCACTAAGACCCAGAGTGTAGAAAATTGTATCTGCTGCTGGTGCATATGTATTCTCTCTGCTCTAGATGCACAGAGATGGTGGAGTGCTGCGATGGAGGAAGGAGGGCACAAGAGACATAACAGACAGGCAGGAGAAAAAGTGGCATGGGGCATCATTTGAGCTCCCTGCCTCAGGTGCCAAAATGTTGTGGGCTGGCCCTGGATTAGGGTCACCATTCCTACCCATCGTGGCTGATCAGTATTGCTGGACCTAACCTCCATGAAATTATCTAGCTCTTTTTTGAACCCTGTTAAAGTTCTGGTCTTCACAACATCTTCTAGCAAGCAGTTCCATGGGTTGACTGTGAGATGTGCAGAAATACTTCCTTTTGCTTGTTTTAACCCTATTCATTTCATTTGGTAACCCCTAATTCTTGAAGACATTGTGCAGGTCCTTCGTCATCTGCTACACCAGCACTGCCACCTCCCTTGGGGCTAAAGAACTTTCAGTCTTGGGCAGTGGGAGTAGGCTTTGGTCCCAGCAAGTCTCAGGCCAGCCCCAGTGACCCATTTAAAACAGGGTGGCAATCCACTTTGAAGTCCAGCCCACAGTTTGAGACCAGCTGTTTATTTAAAAGACTTCTCAAATATAACCATAATCAGGGACAACATTTGAAGTCAACAAAGTTGACAGACCAGCCAAGTTATATTTTGAACCAATTGTAAGGACTTTTTTAAAGGGGGGGGGGGTCTCATCTCTCTTTAGGGAGGAGGATATTCTCTGATGGTATATTCAGAGGATATTCTCTGATGGTATACTCAGAGGATATTCTCTGATGCCATGCATCTGACGAAGTGGGTCTTTGCCCACGAAAGCTTATGCTCCTACACTTCAGTTAGTCTATAAGGTGCCACAGGACTCTTCGTCGCTTTTGCAGATTCAGACTAACACGGCTACCCCTCTGATATCTGATGGTATAAGATTCCCCTTAAATCTCCTTTAAGCAGCATGGGAAAGAAGACCCCAAATCACAAGCCTGTGTGTCAATTAATTAAGCAAGCAAGCATGTATTATTACAAGAAGCAGAAGCTCTGCAAACGCTTATGCCTGTGCTCCTTAACGTCACCCACAAGACTCAGAGGAGTAGCCGGGGTCGTCCACATCACTTCACCCACCAGAGTTATCCCAGTGGCTTAAATGGGACTACTCATGTTTGCAGCAATAACCCCGTGAGAGTTTGCAGAGCAGGGGCCGCAGGCTGCGCCGCCTCCCTCCATCGGGGAGACACAGGGGACTTGGGTTTTAATTGTCATTCCCGGCCCTGCCCGCGCCCAGCCGCCACATGCTCTGCCTAGGGCTGGTGCAAGGGCGAGCTCCACGCCAGCCACAGCCCGGGGTGGGGGGAGGCCCCAGGGGCCCCGGCACAGGGCGGGGGGCGGAAGAACCCAGCCCAGTTGCTCCGAGTGCGGCCGTTGGCGCGCGCAGGGCAGAAGGGCGGAGCTGGGGCACCGCGCCCGGTTACCTGGCTGAGTGCGGCGCGTCCGCCTGTCCCGCTGCCGCCCGGGTTCCGCCGCCGCTTGCCCCGCTGTGGGTGGGCGGGCCGGGGGGAGCCGCCGTTGCC